TAAATGAACTAGTATATAACTGGTATGAAGTTGGCTAACAAATGGATGTCAAACATTTATTACTACATTGGTATATTAAATATTATCACTTGATAACATGGGAAATGGATTGTAGTGGAGCAGCTAAGCCTAATGAAAACATTTAAAAGCTTATGCTGCGATCTCTTATTGACAATTTAGTGAAGAAGAAGTACATTATATCACCACCTGTCCTTTGAGGTCTGATACGTTTCGAGGTGGCTCTGAAGGACAGTTCATTTTAGCAAAACTTCTCTAATTCTCTCCTTCAATCCTTCTCTTAAATTTCTCAAATTCTTTAAGAAGTCGCTTAGTATTTATTGGGTCAATATCTCCGCCTGCAGCAATTTTATTACAAATTAAGAATGAAATTAAATTTGATTGACCATCTTTACTTTCAGATTTTCCCATTGATTTTCCCTCAAAAAACTTAAGTGGCATATCAAAAGTTCTAACGCGATTGCTTTAAAAATGTTAATTGGCTGTGCTTAGCGGGCGACAACGATATTTTATTACTCGCAATTTATAGTCTGTGCATTCAGCCATTTTTCATACGAATTCTTTTTTGCCTCGTTTAATCAATGCACAGCGAGTGTAAAATGAACATTTATGACACTACTTAAAAGTACAAATATACATGATATAACTACATACATACATAAATTCACATAAAAATCTAAAAAAATCCTTCGTAAAGAGAATAAAAAAATTCAGCCAGAAATAAATGAAGAAAATATGTAAATGTCAAAATAATGCTTTTGCCGTTGCCAAAAATGGCAATCACACACTGAAACCATCAGGAAGTGAAAAGGCATTCAATCAAAACACAAACTAAAAGCCAAATCTACAAGCATACATGAAATAGCGGAGAGTGCGTTTCGGCTTTTTTTTTTTTGGAAAGGACACCAACCGGCGGTGTACCTAACCTACAATAAAGGTTGTTGTTGCTTGTCGCCCGACTACGCGATGCTAATCTTATTTCCGCTGCGCGGCTGAAAAAATGGCCGGAAGTTGGAAAAATCAAAATACGCGCCGTCAATGGTCGAAATGTGCACGTGAATGAATGAAATAATGAATGAGTGAATGAACGATTTATGGAGGGGAGGTGGTGTGGTGTCCAATTCGTGTGAGGTTAACGCTACAGTACCTTTAAAAAGTATTTGTATTAATTTATATTAACCTAGATTCCACATTTAAGGTTTCTCAACCGTAAGTTAGTTCAATATATATATTTTTTTAAAGTCATTTAAGAGTTCAGAAATCGTTATGGGCGTGGAATATACAGTCTATTAAATTGAGTGTCAGTACTAGAATTAAAGAAGCTCAACAACTGTACTAGTCCTTGAATTTTTATCTGCCCGCTAGAGGTCGAACATAGCAGAGGAATAAAAGTTGGCTCACCAGGTGGCGCCAAAGTCTACAGGTGGAAAAAGCAGTGCGAGAAGTAAAATTGGAGTAAAATAAAAAAAGGGAGAAAGGAGTAAGAGAGTGCGCGAAAGAGACAGAGAGAAGATATATAAGAGTAGAACAAAAATTAAACATTCACAAGAAGAGTAGAAAAAGCAGATCAAGACCGCTGTAACGATAAAGAGCAAGAGTATAATTATTTTTGCTAAGGAGAGCAGGAAAAGATTTGGTATACAAAAGGGTAGAAAAATCAATTAAGAAAAAGAAGAGAAAACGAAGAAGACCAAGAAGAAGAAGACGTAGAAGTAAGAGAGAAATAATAAAAATAATAAAAATAAGAGTAATAGAAAGATGTGAAGGAGAAAAACTGGAACTACTAGAAAGTAAAAGTAGAGCTTGAGAAATAAGAAGAATAAAGATTAGAAGAAGCAATGAAAGAAGAAGTATAAGAAAAGGGAGAAGTAGGAGAAAAGGAAAAAAGAGATCTAGTAAAAATTAAGTGATTTTCTCAAAAAGGAAACGTTAATGCTTTTATATTTTCATACGGAAAATGAAGAGGAAGAAGATGAAAAAGTCAAATAACAAGACGAAGAAGAAGAAGAAAAAGAAAAAGAAGAATTAACAAACTGGGAAATATAAAGAGTAAGAAAGAAGAAAGAAAGGAAGCAAGAGAGGAAAAACAGCTGAATGATTATGAGGAAAAAGCAAAAGATAAAAACCTAAAATAAAAATTAGAAAGGAAGCTGAAGAAGATAGAAGAGAAAGAGAGTAATTGGAATAAGTAATCACAACGAAGATAAAAGAGAGAGTGCATAAATATAATTGGGATATAACAAAAAGAAGGAATTTTAAGAAATACCAAGAAGAATATGTCGAGGAAAATAAGAAAGTAATAAGAAGCAGTAAGCGAATAAGGATTTAAATTATAAAAATATTAAAATATAAATGAAGAAACCAAAAGTGTAAGAAGTGCAAGCAAAAAAAACTGAAAATGAAGAAAAAAGAGAGATATTGAGAAAAGAAGATAAAAGAAGAAATAAATAAGTAAAATTAAATTACGAAAAAAACACATTAAAAGAATCATAGGGTATAAAAGAATTCTGAGAGGTCATGGATAATCTCTCTATTACAGTGTATTAATATTTAAAATTAAAACTTTCTGAGATACACTGTACTTGGAAATTAGCTCTTGTGAGCCTCTTTTTTTGAAATTCCCAAAAAAAATACCGTTAGTTTGCTAGCATTATTAGCTCTACCGCCACTTTTGCTTTGTCCTACTTTTTCGCACCCCGCAGCTTATCAACAGCAGACTGTTTCGGTTGGCGTTTTCCGACCGCATTTCACCTTTTCCACAAAACCACCTTTTTTTTTGTAATGTTTTCCCTACTTTTGGTGGCTATCGCGGCGTTAAGTTCCACTCACTGACACCTGCGTAAAAACGTTGGAATTTTTCCAAAAGTTTTCGTAGTAAAATTTTTAAGCAATGTGGCCGCAATGGCTCGCTGATTCGCTATGTGAAAACACATGGCTGCCACGGCTTTCATGTAAACACGCACACATGCTTAATTTACAAAATATGCGCTTAAAATGGTTTTGATATTTTGTAACAATTTCGTTTTTTACTTCGCTGTTTTATGCTTTTGCAGGCATTTTTATTGATTTTTTCTCGTTTATTGTTTTTCTGGTGCTCTGCTCTGCTGCATTTTGTTGCTGGATATGCTCTATTTAACTTGGCAACTTTTAAGTGGCTGTACCGAAAATTTTGCTCTTTATATAATTTTCTAGGTTAAAGGTGTGTGGGGTGTGTGTTTGTGTGTAACGGCGAACATGTTGAAGGATTTTATTGATTTTATGCTTTCCACTTAAAGCATTTTTATTACATGTAGCCACTGCTGTTTCCTCAATTCGCTTTACTTTAAAAAAACACTAGTCTTGCATTAAACAATTTCATTCCTTTATAATTTCAATTTCTCAGCTTTTGAGTTGATTTCCCTGGTGTTCGGTAATTAGTAAGAGCGCGTCTTGTGACTGTTGTTGTTTTGCCACTGGCTATGTCAATAACTAATTAAGTAATTAATTGGGTAGTGAGGTCGTAGAATCTTCAACGCGTAGGGCAGCATATCCTTGAAAATAACTCTTACTTACTGTTGATGTGTATGAAGCTGAGAATAGTTAAAGCTTTTCAATGGTCACTTGAGTAATTGAAATAATTATTTATAATTCTAATTGTATTTCATTAAAAACCAATTGTCCTGCACTCCATGAAATATTTCACGAAAATTTTAAGAAAATAAAATGATATAAAGGAATTTAATAAAGGTTAAATAAAATAAAATAAAACAAACTAAAATGGAAAAAATAAAAAAAAAAATTAAAGGAAAAGAAATAAAATAAAATAACATAAAATGAAATAAAAATGGAAAAAAAATAAAACAAAATAAAATAAAATAAAATAAAATAAAATAAAATAAAATAAAAAAAAACAAAACAAAACAAATTTTATTTCAATAAAATAAAAAAATTAAAAGTTATTTTATTTCAATGGATGGACTACCAATTGGTTTATTATACACAATTAACCTTATTCAATCATAACATAGAATTTAGTATTTATATTTGCAATCAGTTCTGCATAAACAAATTAAGCTAACATGTGAACCCATAATTATTGTTGATATTTACTTTGTATTTTTAATCAATATTTAAATCTATATTAACTATTATAATTTTTTTCTTTCAGATTAAACGTCATTAATCTGTCAATAAGTTAAATACAGCAAAATTAGTGATGGATTGACATATATATTGAAAAATGAATCTCCAACGAGATCAAAGCGAATTAAAATGTCAGACAAAAAATTGCAGTACCGGTTTTGTAAATTTTTAAATGTATTGGTAAATAAATATTTAATCGGCCAATTGTGTGTTTTGAAGAAAAAGTTCGTGTAAACAATTCTGTGGGAAAATATTTACTTATGCACGAAACAATCACAAAGAACTGAAAGTTTATTTTTGCATCAAAGTATATGACAGCGGTGTTTTTTGCATAAAAAATAGCCATTGGTGCCAGTAAAATTGGTTTATAAAATTAATATTTTATTTTTTAACAAAAGAAATGTTACAAAAATTGTAAACCTATAGTTTATGCTTTGAAGTAGTATATGAAATGTGTAATGAAATAAATAAAAAAAATAAAATAAAATAAAATAAAATAAAATAAAATACAATATAATATAACAAAATAAAATAAAATGATATAAAACAATATAAAATATATTAAAATCATATAAAATACAATGAAATAAAATAAAATATAATAAAACAAAATAAAAAATAAAGAAACATAAAAAAATAAAATGAATTAAAAGAAAAAAGAATATAATATAAAATATAGTAAAATAAAATAAAACAAAATGAAAAATATACATTAGAAAGTGGTTTAAAAATGTGTTTAAATAAAATACATCTTTAGAAATGAGATATTGTTATATAATGCGGGCATCATAAATATTTTTATTTATTTACGAAAAAATATTAAGCATAAAAATATCGCTTCTGGTTGTTTCTTTGTGAGCTATGATATGATGTTTCAATTTTTTTTTCTAATTAAAAAATTTATAAGCTAAATTTTCAAATAATGTTAATCTCACAATTATAAAGCCATAAAAGCGAAAAGACAACAAATTTATTGGCCACCAAGGATATAATATAAGCAGGAAAAAATGAGCCAACAAAAGCATGTTACAATGAAATTGACTAAAATTGCAAGTGAAAAGCGCCCACGCGTGGATTAACAACATAACAACGTAGCAACGAGAGGGCAACGGCCCACCAAGCAAATGCTGGGCACCCTCCTAAACATAAGAATCGCCATTCACCTGCTTTTAACAATGCCGCACTCTGCAATGGCTCGCAACCAACAAAATGTCACTCAAAGTGTGCTTAAGACGTGCGCTGTTTTACTTGTGAAACCAAACAAGTTGTAAAGAGAGTAAGTTTTAAGAAAAGTACACAATAAAAGACAATAAAAAAAAAAAAATAATAACAACGTGGTTAACGACAGCGGTGTATAAGCAGTTTAACAACAAAGCAAAAAAAAAAAAATAGAAAATTCGAAAAAAATTAAAACATTCCCTTACAAAACACTCACAAAGGCCACCACGAGAAATCACCTTTACGCCCTCGTGGCACACTACCCACTCACACACAACCACCACTACAAGAACACATAAACACAAAAGACGCACACATACTACATACACTAGCACTAATCCAAAACAATGCTGCGTAGCTGTGTGTGTTTGGGTCGTGGCGCGAAACGACGCAGCTCCTCGTTAGAGGACACCTCATCGTGCCGTTCGTCTGAAATTGAACGTGTCGCCAAACGTATGGAGACCATGACGGTTTATACGAAAACCACATCAACGACCAAAACGACAACCACAACAACAAGCAAATTGCAACAGCAACAGCAGCAACAGTTGCAATCGAACGAAAGCGGCGGACGCACCACAACTTCCAGTATATTGCAGTTCTTCCAATCGAAAACGTGGTACCGGCATTGGCGTAAAACGGAACGTTCGATGAGCATGTCAAAGACCGAAAGAAGTGAGTCATATGAGTTTTTCGTTGTTCATCATGCTAATTTATTATAGTAATTGTGTACAAGTATTTTGAAATTAATTTGCAAGTAGTGATTGAAATGAGTGAATGAGTTGAGTTGAGTGACCAGAGGTGAGTCCACATACATTCACTTACGTCCATATACTCGTATTGTTGTGAAATGATAGTGAAATGTGCATTCTTATGCTACTAAAGAGACAGTGCGTCTGAGAAAAAGCCTTTGATGTCTGTATTTATTTACTTGTGCCTTTAAATTTTTGTGTGAATATATATATATGTATTTGATTTTATCTTTTTTTCAAATTTAGTGTATTAATCACGCATATTAAATAATGGCCTACAAAAGTGTGAAAAATTCTATTTAGTTGCCATGGGAAAAATTAATAAAGAAATCAAGTAGTGCGGAACACGCACTTTTGGTGTAAAGATAAGTTATATAGGTGTTTGTAATTAAACCAGAAATAGTTTATTTTACAAACCACTATGTGTAGTATTCCTAAACAATGTTCTACAACAATATTTTCTTTCAATATTTTTATGCTAAATATTTTTGTCCAAATTGTTTTATACCTTTTGAGAACAAAATATTGTGCTAAAAATAGAAAGCATCAAAAAATCGCTTTAATATTTATAGCTCATGAATTTCTTTCCATTTATAATAAAGCAACTAATTTAGGAATTTTGTATTTATATTTCCTTTATGACGAAAGTGGCACAAAAACACTGCAACTAAAAGTAAACTTATGAATTTTAGTATGTTTGCAGTTTATGTGGGTAATATATATGTATGTACGTACGTCATCGTATTTCATGAGTCATTGTTGTGGATTGTGATGGTTGAAGGTTACGCATACGTCATGGCGTACGTGTAATTATTCATAAGGCTTTCACCGTTGGTTTTTTTTTTATTTTTTTCTTATATGTTTAATTCTTTTAAATTCTTTTGCTTTGATTCAATAGAAATAAAACTTATTGTATTTTGGTATTTTATATAATCCCTTTTTGCATTCCTTCTCAATTGTAGGTTTTAATATTTTTCATTTAAATTGTTTTTGTGTTAATTTTTATATTCCTTTTAGTTTATTTTAAATTTTTTATTCATTTTATCATTCGTTTATATTTTCTTTATACATTTATTTAAATTTTTTCTTTAACTAATTTATTTTAATTTACATTTAATTTTTTCAAATCTAATCCTATTTAGTTTTTTCTTTAAATTTATCTCTTAAGTTTTTTTTTTTTAAATTTAAAACTTCATTCCTATATTATTTAGAAAAAAACATTTTTAATCTTTTATTCTCTTTTTATTTATTTGTATTTTTAATATTACTTTTATATTCTATTTTTAGTTTTTTTCTTATTTTTTGTATAATAACATATTTTTATTTTTATTTTATTCTAATATTTTTATGTAAGTTTATTCAAATTTTCGATTTTTTTTTTAAATCGTTTTTATTTTAGTTTTCTTTGCGCTAATTTTACATGTAATTAAACTTTTTTCAATTTTATTAATTTTTTTTCAATGGTTTCATCAGGTTTTTTTATTTTCCCTTATATTTAAATATATATATTAATTATAATTACCAATAACAATTCAATATCATGTGCCGATTAGTACATTAACTTGTCAATAGCTAGAAGTTAATTTGACGATTTAGGGGAAAAACTTTCATTATATATTGACAGCACGCCAAGCTGACATACCATCGTATACAGAGCAAAAGTTGACGGCTAAACGCTCAAATATGTAAGCATTTAAAACAAACTTTAAGCTAAACTTTAGTGTTTAGCACAATAGAACGATAGACATGTGACAAACTTTTGACACACTTTTGACTTATATATGTTTCACTCTCTAAACGAGTATATGTAGCTATATGGACATATATGACTTTACTCGTGCGGAGAGAATTAAAATTCTGGCTTCCTAAGCAATTGTTTTTCAAAATTTTTTTTTTACCTTATTGCTAATTTGGTTTATATTGTAATCGTGATAAAAACTTTGCAGACAGAAACTTATTTAATTGCATTGAAACAAACCCAGAAGCACGTATCTGTTGTCAATTAATTTTACTTTAGATTTTAGAGACGCTTTGAAGTATCGAAATGAAATAAAACTCATACGTTAGCACGTGCGTTCATTGAAAGATTGGCAGATAATATTTAACAAAAAAACGAGAAAAATACCTACAGAAATTGTTATTTATTTTTGCGCTTAATCTTTTTTTCATAATAATATATACTTATTACTTTATCACAAAATAAGACAAGAAAATCTAAATTATGTTACGTATACGTACTGTCCTACAGACTAACTACAAATTAGTAGTTAAAAGTATTTTAAATACTTGATCGACAAAGCCATGTCGCGCGTATTTTTTATAACATCCAACTTTGCATACTAATACTTGCTTTTTTCTGATCTCACCAAGCGCCAGCACTTTTTGTTTTCTGTAAAAAGCAATAATCTACATAAGTTAATTTTTCCTAAGAACAAGAGAACTTTTTTCGTTCTGCTACAATTTCTAGCTTTCTTTTGTACTCCTTATAGCATTTTCTTTCTCCAACGCACCATGCAAGTAGCAAAATTTAAATATATTTTAACTCAGTTATCTGTTTAAAGAATTACCTTTGATATGCAAATCGCTTGATGTGAGTGCTGAGCGAACGGAAAAATTGAGATATAAATGTATAAAAGAGAAACGTCGATTACAATCAATTAAAGCGAATCAAAATAAAATAAATAAATATAAAAAAAATAGAATAAGAAAAAGAAATAAAATAAAATATAAGGCGAAGTAAAATGAAATAAAGGAAAAAAATAAAATGAAATAAAAGAAAAAAAAAAAAAACAAAACAAAATAATATAAAGTAAAATATAATCAAATAAAATAAAATGAAATTTTTGCGACAAAAGTTACCTGGACGTGTGGTATTGAAAGGAGGAGATAACCACATAGTCACCAAGATCGCCCGATTTGACTGGAAGAGACCTTTTCTTGTGGTGTTTTTTGATAAGTAAAATGAAAGCTAAGAATCCGAAAACTTTGGAAAACAACATGCAACAACAAGGAAGAGAGTGATTTGATCTATGTTGTTTCCGAATCTAGCTGGAAAAAATTGTAAAGCTTCGAATTTGATAATAACAACAGTTTATGAAAATTCAATGAAAATTGTTCAAGTTGTTCAATGTTTTCATTGACCACATATAGATGGCGCACCGTATATCTATATATATATACATTTATATATACATATTAATATGTATATAATGACACTTTGTAAGCCCTAAAGCGATTTTCGGACGAGCTCATCTTCAAGTTTGTGGTAGCATCTCGATGTTTTGCCAACAAATGGGGGGACCTACACCCTATACTATGCTGCCTCGCCGAATAGCAGTACGCAATGTACCACTCGGCTTCCGCGGCCGCGAAGAAATAAAATAAAATAAGACTTGATATGAAATAAAATAGGATAATAAATAAATAAAGAAAAGGGCATAAATTTTTTTGTTTGTGAGGTTTCTAAAGTGTCAAGTGTTATCCCATGTTGTTATATTATCTCTGTGGTCTTTTATTTGTCTTTCACGTTATGTTTACTTTTTTTTTTTAATCAACTGCCTTTGAGATGTTTTCTCTTTGAAGTTGCTGTATTGAGTTTTAGAGTACATATGTACTTATTTTATTAAGTTTGTATGCTTATGTTAATGGAATGTAATGCACCACTTATTGTTGTCCTCTTTTTATTTACAAATTGTAAACCAACCTAAGTATATACTCAATTATATTTTGCGCTTCTAAAGAATTCTGTATTATTTCAAGTGCAATGCTCTTTTAGTGCTTTTGAAAATAGTAGACCAAAGTTTTCTTTTAGCTTCCAAAAAGTTGATTGTATTAAGGAACAGTTGTGGGTATGCTTATTTCGCTAGTAGATAATGAAGAGTAATAAAAATAACTTTGCTTGCTGGGGAGAGCTTCAGTTTCGATCGCTGAAGAATGAGAATAATAAAAATGTATGCAGGTTGCTTGCAGGTGAAAAATATTCCTAAAAATAAGCAGAACCAAATATTTCTCCACCAGCAATGAAATTTTTGCACAAATTTCTTCATACATACATATCTGTATGCAAATCCATGTGACAGGCATGATATAACAGCTTTTCATGCATTTTAAGTAGGTAAACGAATATTACTCATACGCCCTGGAGGCACATAAGATGTGCCACATTTCGTATGTACATTTGTATGTGTATGCACTTGGTACTTCATTTACATGAAATTTTTATGTATGTTATTCCCTTACAACATAACATATGCGCATACATTTAAGTGTAAATAAATTTCAATAATAATAAATATTCCTACTCAAAAGCATACGATGCTGACAAAAAAAAAGGAATTCACGTGCAGTGAAAAATGAGTTTGTTTGATATGTTTTTAAAAAACAGATGTAAAGTTGTACATTATTATACACTCGTTTTCAACACTCGTAAATTTTTTATAAATTTGTGAATATTTTTATAAGTACTTATTTCAACGCAAAAGTGTATTTGTTAAACAATAGCAGCAAACAATTATGAAATTTATAACATCATCGGCATTAAGCCTGCCTACACGTGCATGAATGTCAAAACGCATAAAAATGTATATATATACATATATGCGTATGTATGCATGTGTGTATACGTTTGTAAATATGGTGGGTATAACGAAATCATATGCCATAAATAAACTCATGAAAAATGTTCACACGCTCCCCTGCTCATTATTAGTATTATTAATAAACAAACGCATATATATGAGCACTAAAATTGTATACTCGACATAGAGGCAATCAATGTTGGGGTAAAAACTCATTAAGTGTCTTTCATTTATGAACCTATTATTTTTTCCGGATTTTCTATATGTTTTATTGTAACAGAATCATAATTTTTAGGGTGATTTTGTGACGCTCAGTAAAATTCAAATATTTCTAAATTTAATGTAT